TACAATACATCCTTAAAATTCATTATAACTTTTCATGATTATTTAATATTTAGAAATTGAAAAATAATTTTTCTTAAGTATAATATCTAATCAAGCTTCTATTCTAAAAATAGTTACTTAAAAAATTATTGTAAAGTTTCCGAATGAGAAAGATTATAACTGCATTCAAGGTACACAAATTTTGTTAGTTCTTCATGTTTTTTTGAATTTTTGGTATTTTCTTAAACAACAGTGTTCATATTTTTTAATAAAACACCTAATGTTATTTTGTTATGGACTTTAAGTATTTTTCATTGCTTACAAAATATTACTCCTGTTTTAAATTTTAATTTTCAATTAAAGAATTCGTTGCACTTACTTCATCATTTATTTTTGATATTAACACTTCTTTTTATTATTAAGTTTATATAGATTATTAATTATCTACTTCTTTAATTGTTTCAGTAAGCTTTTCAACCTTTTAATCAAATGTGATAAGTTATTTTTCGATAGTATTTTTTAATGATTCTAACTTATCTGAGACTATTGAGGATTTTTCTCTTTCTTTTAAGTCTGATTATACTTCACCAATTTACTAATTCAACTAATTGTATTTATTAGATAATTATTCCAATCTTATTTTGCTCGACTGAGATAATTCCATTAAACTTTGCTTTAGTTGATTATTTTAAATTGTTTCCTAATTAGATTATTGAAGAAACTCTTATTCTTATTTGAGGAATTTCTAACTAATATTTTCTTCTAACCCAATAATTTTTTCTTAAATTTTTTTAATTTCTTACTTTTCCTCATCAATTTTAATTTGCAATTCTTATTTTTATTTGGTGATTAACAGTAATTATTTCTCATTTCATCAGCTTCTATCAAATTTCCTCATTTTTTCTGAATTTATTTCATATTATTTATATTGTTATTAGGATATAGACCATTGAGAATTTCATTATCATTTTTCTCTTCAATTACAATAAGTTATTGAAGATAGCCATTTTACTCAAGTTGACATGCCTCTTTCTCTAATTCTCTTTAGAAATTAGTGGATTCAGTAAAAATTTTTTGGTATTACTCCTAAAGTTAACATTTAGACATAAATTCATTTATTTCAGGACTAATTTTAATATCAAAATGCATGTTATTTTCTATGTTTTAATTATCTTAAAAAAAATAAATTACTTTTTTATTCTTACAAAATGACCATCAATTATTATTTGCAAAGTAAATCATGTTTGATCAGGGTTTCTAATTTAGATTTAACATTCTGATAAAACAATTAATCAAGCCTATCTTGTTTATCTTATTGCTAAAGTATGTGTTTATTTTTATCTTATTAGCTTAAGAAATCAATCATCTTTTCAAATTATTTTTCATCTAATTCAAATATTTATTTATTATCTAATTTAAGGAAATCTTAAATCTCTTAATTATTTTTGACAAACTGTTCATCTATAGAAGATAACATTTCTGATAACGAGTGGTTATAATTATCTTTTAGTTATTGAGTTTCTTCTATAACCAATTTAAACATTTATTCTCTTCTACAATTATGTTTAGATATCAAATCTTCTGATTATCCAATAAAGGTATTCCACATCTTATTCGCCTCTTTTAAGCTAACGTATTATATCTGATTTTCTTGAATACATTACACACAAGCTAATCTACCAAATTTTGGTTCGTTATAATTAATATTTAACATAATTATTTCTTTGTTATGCTTGTTGCATATCTAATCTAGACAAGGAGTTTTCTAATATTATTATCGTAAATTACATGTTAATCAAATTCTTTTGTAGGTATTTGGTTAATATTTGCTTAATGATTAATTGGTTCATTAGATCTTATTATTTATATTAAGATTCAATTGATTCCTAGATTAATTAAACGAGAGCTAAGTCCTTTTCCTTATAAATTTGCTGTTTGGGTATATTGTAATTAAAATTTCCTTTATAATTTTTTGATAGAATTTGAATTTCCTCGTCTCAATTATTGATCTCTAACTTTGATTCTTTTGATTCACTTTCGGTTTGGATTTATTCCATTTATTGATCAATCAATAGAAGCCATTTTCCAAGTTCTGACTTGATTTAGTTTTTGAATTACTTTATCGATCAACGTAGAGGCAAATTTTTCTCTTTAATTTTCCAAATAGGATTAAAACTAATTACTATTCTTTGCTTCATTTCAAGAACTAGCTAAACAATATCCCTATATTAGAATAGTATAGAAGAATTTAAACTATTATAATTTATAAAAATTATTATTAGATGTTAGCAGCAAGAGAAAACCCTGAATAAGAATAATAAATGCTGTTTCATGAATAATTTTATATTTCTAAAAAGAAGATGGGCTAACTTCTCCTTTTCTAACTTTGAAAACTCTGCGTTAAATAATAAGCTTCTCTGATATTCATTCTAAAGAATAGTTGGATATTTTAAAGAGAAACAACTTGATAGAGGTATACTAATTTGCGGTAAACAGAATTCTCTCTATATATATGTTTAAATACCAATAATGCTGTTATTGTTCAAATAATCGATAGCAAGACTAACCAAATCTTAAGTTTTACATACTATCTATCTATCTATTGTTAATTTTTAAATTAGTTAGTATAAATTTTATTATGTAGAGATTCTATATTTAAGATTTCCTAACTATTACTATTATCATTCGCAGAAAAGATAACATAAAATTTACATACTATCTATCTATCTATTGTTAATTTTTAAATTAGTTAGTATAAATTTTATAAATATACGATATCCTTAACTCTACATTTTATTCACCTTGAAATTATCAAGTTATTAAATTTATTTTTTCAACATATTTAACTATTTTAGTTTTTTTACTTTATTAATGATAAATATTTTTAGAATAGGTGTAATTTAAACAAATTTGATAATTCAATTGTTCGCTATCCTTATTTTCTGTTGATAGGATTATTTTTAGGTTTACGTACTTAATTACTAGTTTAGATTCGAAATAGATTAAGCGATAGTAAATAAATTATAAAACTCAATAAATTATCAATAAAATTTCTTTTTGATCTTTAATGTAATAATTAGATATGTTGAATGCATATTTTAATTTATTAAAAATAATTTTCATTTATATTGTTGTTGTTAGTCTTAAATCTGTAATTTAAAAAAATATACATGAATTAACGAATGATTTTGAGCTTCTACTAAATCTTCATACTTTGGTACTTACAATTAAAACCACAATTAAAAATAATTAAGAAGATGGACTCAATCCATCAACAATCAATCACTAATTACCATAAATATAATAAAAAATCATTAGGTTATTTAAGCTATTTAAAAGCTATGGAATCTAATGCAAAGCCTAATGAGAATTTTGGTTAAAAGTTAAATTATAAATTAAGAAAATCATTTTCTATAAGTTTTCTAGAACAAAATGAAAGTTGAGTGCACCAATAAAAGACTTCGAAAAAGGCAAAGTTAACTTGATTTCATTATTAATTGAGAGATTTACAATCAGTAAGGGGAAGTTAAAAAGTACAAACAAGATGTTTAATTAATAAACATATTAAAAATATAAATTTAATCTTAATTTATAATATGAATAAAACATTAAATCTCTATAACAATGCATATCGGTTGTATATAATTCACATGTGATATTTGATTAGAATATCTTATAAGAATAATATATATAAGTAAGAATTTTCTGGATTTAATTATATTGCTGAATCATAATGTTCCAATGCTTCTTTTAGTCTGTTCATTTGTTTTAGAATAATAGCTAAAATATCCTCCATATTGAATTATACCTTTA